GTCCAATTTCGTCCCAGAGTGTTCAATGGGAGCCATATACGGGGGAAGAGACGGCCATGGAAAAACGTTAATGTTGTTTTGAGCCATATAATCCTTCGACACCTCTGCTGTGGGAGGGCTGCAAACGTCACTGGCGTTTGGCCCCACAATGGCAGTGGATTCCAGCAGCCCGAAGACGACGCCTAATCGTATCGCTGGACACTGCTCCCCTTGACCCATGAACTAAGGCTGCTGTGTTGGTGCTTGAGTTCGGTTCCTTAGATGAGTGACCCGGATGAACCGATCTTGCGCTTGAGATGTCATTCGTTGCCGTCCGGTACGGGGACGATGAGCAGCAACCCCGGTTTGCTGATGACGTTGAGCAAGTCGTGTAATGGTGGCAAGATGACAGCCCAATTGTCTAGCTACAGCGGTTGCAGAGCTACCTCCGTGCAACTTCCCAATGGCCATTCCTCTCTGCTCAGTCGTTAGTCTAGGCATCGTTTGTGAGGAGTGTACATCTCCTAGTGTCAATACTGAACTGTTTTTTTACACAAACCTTTATAAAGAATACCTCAGAGTGAAATGCATGCTTTTCATCCAGAACCGTCGATGCACGTGCTAAAATTATGGTTTTGCTGCACTGTTGGTGTGTTTGTGCGAATGGTTCGTATGGACGTCAAATTGCATGACATCATCTCATCTTGGATCATTACGTCACTTTACCATGAACGTTCCATAAACATGAACGCTTACCTTCATGAGATTTCATTTTTTCGAAACTTGCGTTTCTTTTGCTGTTCAGTATATTATACATATGTTTAGCTATAATGTTAACGGTCCTGAATCATTCATTTTATTGGTAACGTGCGACTTAACGTACGTGGCAGACACGTTGATAGTTCAGCATCCCTGAACGAGGATTGTTAATTCAACTTCGTTTGTGTTTAGTGTTGTTTGTGTTAGATCAATCGTCGGTGAGTATTTAATTTGGCATCTTGAAAATATATAGTTCCGTCTACCCTCACGTATAATGTGATAAAGCACAGTTTTATTCTGACTTATTATAGTTAAAACACGAGGACGCAAACAATAATAGGCCAAATTGCACTTTATGCTCAAGGCAGGCAAATATATATTGCAACATCATGTCCATTTAGAACTGAAAACTGTGACTATTGTTGATAACCCACACATCATATTTCTTATTGGTGTTTTAATAATACAAATCTGTCTTTGAATGTCCCTGCAATGACAAATCGCCATGGGGTTCCAGGGAAGAGAGAGTCTGCTTGTTTAGCTTGGTTTGTTTGAAACACGGTCGGTGTTTGAAAACTACTTGTCGGTATGGTTGTGTGTCTGTGGACTAGCATTGTAGAACCGACTGCAGCCAACACGAGAAGAGCAAAAGCGGCCCACCTCTCCCTAACACAACCCGCCTCCGCTTCATTTGCACATTATTCATTATTTGGTCGTTACTGTAAATATTATATCGCCGACTCATACCGAAATGTATGCGTCGTTTTCCATAAGTTAGCTCCGTTAACCCCGTGAATGACAATGTGATGTTCTGATACATTATTCGCCACATGTTACACAAATCCGGAATATATATCAGCATGTAATATACCTTACCCATTGTCAATGGAATTTGTCGTCGTCCCTTATCCTCCGCCTCAATGGCTGTATCAGATGTGCAGTTTGGCGTTGCGGTATTGTGTTCCATTCTTGAAGGAGGGCTTGTTCCAATATATCATGATCTGGTACCTTACGGTCTCTCTGGTCATAGCAGAGCTACTACCATCTCATGCAGGTGCACGATGTGGCCTAACAATGTCATCCATGAAGACTGGTCTTGTATTCAGAAGACGGTCATCGAACCCTGTCTTGGATGTCAGTGATGTACCGTTGATCAGTCAGATTTGTCCGATCATCACGTTTACAGACACGTTAAGTTTACGGTTAAATTTACAGTCAAACGGTCCTTTATCCAAAATGGTGTTGGTGAAGTCTTCTGATTCTGAAAAGCGCTGTATCTTTCCTCGGAGTGGTCGACCTGGCCATTCATATGGAATGCCTTTAATGGGTTTTAAACTAATGGAAATATCAAACAATAACTCCCAATCTGTTCCAGTGGGGTTTGAAAGGGATACAAATGGCAGGAATATTTACACATATTACATATTGGTACCTAGTTCGGGAATGCCTCCCGAAAGCTTCACCTTTTTTTTTTTTGCAATATCCGATTTATCTGTTATACGAATGTCACCCTCCTTAAGATGTTGAAACAACATTTGGACCCTTGCCTTTTGTTTTCAGCACTATATTCCATATCGTAGAAATGTTTGTGAGTTAATTTTAGAAACATAGTTTTGCCATTTGTGTTTAAACTTGCAACGAGCACTGACATTTGAAATTTGAAATTGATTTAAGTTATGGACTGATGGATGTCAACGGAAATATGTTTACGTCTTCTTCCTTACCTTGCGAGCTTGTTGGCAGTTAATGTTAAACCATGGCTTACAGCTATTTGGAACCATGGAGGATTCTGGAATATAATCATCAGTTTTATTTTATCAGAAAAAAACGATAATACGATCAGAAATATTTCAGCTTTTAATCTGTTAATGAATAATGTCTGGAATAAAGACCAAGCATGCTTTTCAAAATTTCAACCTTGATGATGGTGGGACATCAGTGGTGTGTACGGTGAATAGTGGGAAAATTGTCACTTCCACAAAGGTCATTGTTGACTGACCATTCAAGTTCATTATATAAATTAGAATCAACAACACATATATCAAGACAATTGGGTTTTTGTGTTGTCAGATCATTTAGATGTTGGTTTGTTTTGTTATTGTTTGACACTTGTTTCTGATTTAGTTTTTTAAAAGAGTGAGATGGAGTTGCGTCTTGAAAAGTTGTTTGAGAACAGGTAGATTCGCCAACAGTTACTGTATCGGTAGAGAGTGGTAGATTCGCCAACAGTTACTGTATCGGTAGAGAGTGGTAGATTCGCCAACAGTTACTGTATCGGTAGAGAGTGGTAGATTCGCCAACAGTTACTGTATCGATAGAGAGTGGTAGATTCGCCAACAGTTACTGTATCGGTAGAGAGTGAAATTAGTTTAGGAGAGGGAGTTTAGTTTCCATTAAAGTGTAATCTGTCTGACAAGAAATGGCCGTACATGAAACAGGTTGTTATTGAAAGGCTGCAGAAGCACGTTAGTATCAACTGTTCTACGTCAAGAACATTCCTCTTCCGATCTTGAAATAAGATGTCCCTTTGATGTTCTATTTTGACTATTTTGGACTCACGGTTCCATGAGGACATTCGTTCGAAATGGAAACGTGATTGCCACTACAGTTGGCACATGAGGTGAGGTGAAATTGGGCTTAACGTCGCGCAGGAGAATATTTCGCTCATATGACGATGTGCATGCGTGTGTATGTGTAGGTGCGGCTGCTTGTACTAGACTAGACTGAAGCTGGTTTTATAGTGCTAGCCCACTGAGATACCAAGCCGCAGTGAAGCATGAATACCCCCCCCTGAGACACATTATACTGACTCCGAGCCGACCAGTCCTTGTTGTACTCATTAATGCCGAACGCCAGACAGGGACTAACAAGTACCATCTTTTAACGTCTTTTGGTATGACGCGGCCGGGGATCGAACCCGCGACCTTCCGCTCTCCGGGCAGACGCTCTAACCACTACACCACGGAGGCGGTCATACTCATGTAGAACATCAAGAAACTGATTTACCTGATTGGCCCACGAGCCACGGCCGTCTGGGCATGTTGGACTCCATGTTGTATTTGTTTACAGTGAACAATAACCAGTGGAATAAATTACATGTGTTCACAACAAACACAATGCACAGTACTTGGCATGATCAGCCGATTGACAGAACCGATAAAGTGAATGAGATATTAGAACACTCTCAAAATGATTTAGTATTTAAACACAACATGGAGTGAGAAAAATAAGGAGGGACCCTAAGAGCAACTGTTGTTAACAGTTAATAGGCCTACACCCAAGAAACAATGAGAAAAGAGCACAAGAACAGAGACGTTTTTTTAAATGACATTGTTATGAGAGTGTGTTTTTTGTAATTTGTAATAACATTAATTAAGTGATAATTATTATGGGTCACAATGTTTCATGTTTTGAGTGTGGGTTTTGGCTCGCATCTCGCATCATATATGTTTAATGGCAATACTATTTTTAGCGGTACGTCTTTTTGATAGCGCTTCAGATTTGCCTCCCTTGGCAATCTTATTTACGGCTTTCATCATGTCGTGTGTACGACGGATTTCGTGAAAGTTCAAGGTTGATAATGATACAGCCTATCTTTACTAGAATGCTCGAGAACTGTGTAAGAGCTATATGAAGGCTGGCTGTTGCGTTGGTCGGCGGGACTTTATTACATCGTTATACGTCTAATCTACATTTCAAGACTGACTGTGCTAGTCTATATTCAACATATGTCATTGTAAACAACCTTCATTCGGTATATCTGCTCTCACTGTAAATGTCACGACTCTGGGTAGTTAATATTTTATATATGTGACCCATTGCTTTAGATTTGTGACTCAATTGCATTGTACTAGAAAACTGTATTGTCATTCATTGTAGTTTGCTAATTTTTTGCTCAATATATTATTGAATATTTTAGACTTGTCTGTGTTCTATTTTTGCTGGTTCAAAGGGGACTCTTAAACCTTTTGTCACGGCAATTTATTAACCGTAACAACATATATTATATTCTAATTGATGGGAAATGGCATTACAAAAATTATAAGAACATGGTTTTATGAAACAGACCATTGTTGGAATTGACTAAAAATAATACATTTTTATAATGTCACTGTATGGTCTTTCTACATAGTCATGTTGCCTTACAGGTTGACTCAACATCCAGTACTGATCATGGCGAGCAAGGACGACAATGACGTAGGAGTTCCTATGACAGAGGTACATTGTCAAGGAGGACATAGAAGTGAACCTACACGACAGAGAACCACTCATGGAGCAGACATCTGGACTACATGCTGACAATGGTTGGCTACTGTGTTTCATTAGGAAACCTGCTGAGATTCCCCTATATCTGCAACAGGAACGGTGGAGGTAAGCATCCAGTGGTATCTGTATAATGTGCGATGTTATTTTGCAAACTTGGTATTGCATCCAATAAACCAGAATCCATCTTCTAAACCCACATGAATATCAATGTGCTGGTTACTTGGTACAATCACTCATGTGTTCGAATCACTCAAAATATTTATCCTTCCAATGATGTACTTATTGTACAACTGGAAGACCTTTTTCCTCTCTGTAAGCAAACATGACTGTAAATTGGGTCTTCTGTGGGAACAGAAAGAACTTCCTTAAATTTGGATTTGCACTAATGTTTAGGAGTACCTGTAAGTTAAATAATATCATAAAATATTATTAATGGACAGTTTTCCTGATATTTAACTGCGTTTTGTATATAAATACCAGTCAAATTTTAAATGTGTAATTGAGATACATATGTTTCAGTGCAAATATGTGGTCAGTATGTTTGAGAAAATATGAAAGAAGTGGTAAACCAACAAAGAAATCTGATATTTTTGACAAATGTAATCTAAATATGGCTATGTTTTTACAGTAAAATCACTATGAAAGAATCACAATGCCAGTATATATTCAAAGCCAGTATGATATAAAAGCAATGAACCTCCAAAAACTTAAAGTGTTGATGATACTCACCTCCCTGGCTTGGCTTACAAGATAGTTCTAGACTGAGTATCTAGGCTGTAAAGTAATCTTCGCACATCTGCTGATCTCCCTGTAAAGTGAGATGAAATGTGCGAGGATAGACGGATGGATGGATGGATTGATAGATGGATAGAAATATAATCCTCGTTTTATAGATCCGTGAAGATCCAGGTTAGAATTCGTCTACATCAACCTATGCTTGTCGGTAGAGTCACCAGAGGAAATCGTGTGGTCAGGCTCTCTATCAAACATCGTCGTATCTTATTTGCGTAAATCGATGCACATGCTGTTGATCACTGGATTGTGTGGTCCAGAATATACCGTCATATACCTGGATATTGCTAGTGCGGCATTAAACAAACGAGCCAATTTATCTATTTTTGTCCTACCTGCACTCTTCTTGACTAGCTAAATGTGGTATTCTTTATAGTATTTGATCGTCTTGTCAAAGACCTGGGACAAATTCCCCATATGAAGCCTCCAACCATGATATTGATGGAACAGAGTGAAATGTCCAGCAAAATCTAGTATACCTCATCATCCATTATGACTAGAAGAAATACGTTGTCACTTCCTTTTGCTTATCATTTTAATTTTATTCATGCACTCGTGTCTTCTAGGAGCTTTCCTGATCCCATTCATCTTGCTACTGCTCATTACCGGGTTTCCAACGTTCTTCCTGGAGTCGATAATCTCCCAATTCTCGGGAAAGGGTGCCAAACAAGTTTGGAGCTTTTGTCCTTTGTTTCAAGGCAGGTGGTCTGTTTTTAGTGAATATGAGTTGATATTCCGCGTTGACCAGAACTTTACACAGAACGTTGAATGATTATTTATACGTATTTGCTTCAAACACAATACACCCCAAAAAGCACCCAACAATACAAATTGATTCTCTATATTCTTACTCGTCTGTGAATATTCCACCGTTATAATATAAAATGTGTTTAGGAATTATGTAAATATACATTGATTGAGTCTTCACAAATCCCAAATTTTACCTTTCTATCCCACCCCGTCAACCCCCATGCGCCACGCAGACTCCCATCAATATACACCTCCATCCTTGCGATTCCGCGTTATAATAGGGTCCTATCAGTAAGGTGATGCTACCATCACATGAGAGGCAACTAAAATGAAAAGGAGTAATGGACTCTGTGACTGGACAGATTGTTGCTGACTGTCAGTTCATGCCATACCTCTATAATGGTGCATTTTCTATCAATCAGGGATTGGGGTTGGCGCTGTGGTGGTTACATGTTCGTGTATGTCCTATTACAACCTGTATCTGGCCTGGCCCATCTACTACATGGCCCATCTACTACATGGTGAAGTCCTGCTCCAGCGTCCTGCCCTGGACAACTTGTGGCAACAGCTGGAACACCGACCTGTGTGCGGAAAACGTGAATACAACCTACGCCAGTAACATGACAACATTGGTGGGCAATACATCAGATACAATCACTACAGCCAAACTGTGGGAAAATCTGACTCTGGCTCATACACCAGCAGAGGAGTTCTGGCAGTAAGATACATCATGTGATGATTCTATTTGTGAAACAGCCCAATCTTCGTTCGCCAAAGTGGGTTGTGTTTTCCAACACAAACTAGAAACACTGTGATCCTACTAAGACATGCCACATTAGCAATAATAATTGTAAAGAGAATTGTCCTGAAATTTCTCGTGTCTGCAAGGTAACGAAGTTAGATGCCTCGTTAACAATTACAATATCTCGGACAAATACATTGTGTTAGTTACATGTAGACCAATGGGTTATAGAATATGTTCTCTGATGGGTATGCTGTTTTCACTTGTAACGTAGCTACGTCAATTGTCAAGATGGAAAAGTCATGCATCAACTCACTCTCATCTTGCACGTAAATATGAGCAACCGGCCTTCCATAAAATGGTGCTTTGAGGCACCTCAAACATGGCAGTTTTCCTTAAATTGCGCAATGGGGCTTTGCTTTTCATATCAGAAAAGCCACAGTAGCCGCTAAATGTGCCTTTCTTTTTAAATGAAGGCGCCAATCTTAATTATGTAACAACTATTATCACTCACTCCCTTCTCACTTTCAGGTACAATGTACTGAGTGTCTCACCTGGCTTGGGGGATGTGGGGTCTGTACAGTGGCACATAGTTGGATGTCTGTTTGTTTCATATGTTATAATCTTTATGTGTCTAATTCGTGGAATCAAGTCTGCTGGTAAGGTAATTACCAAGCACTGCATACCATTGCTTGACTAGATAAGATCACAGAAAATTAATTAAACCTGACTCTAAAACGATGATGTTACCATGCAAATGTGGATGAGTTTTAACTCTTAAGCGAGATGATCTCGCAAAAATGTTGTTTTTGAATTAGCGTGTGAGCTTGTCATCTCGTTATCGCTTGATATTGTTTGTCGTCATCGGAAGATTGTTTTGGATATCTCTGCATTGAGGCCCCGTACTTGTGTATACTGATATACGTATACGTTCAATATTCTCCCATCGACTAGAGCCAAAACTTTTGAGTGGCAATGTAATTAGGTGCATACAGTAATTAGCCAGAATGTGAAATTGCTGGGAGTTACGTTCGCTGGGGGACTACTCTTCTTCATTTGACAGCCTTCTCATTTTCCCCGGCAAGACAACTGCCACCTGGAATGTATGCTGTCGATTTACGGGTTTTCAGTATGTGAAATGTGAGTTGATTACATCACGACCTGTGTTATCCGGGCATCAACTTTTCATTATCAAACGTCGGAGGAGGAATGTCTTGAGCAATGACTTTTGTGTAGATAAACCCGTTCCTGTGTGTAAGAAAACTTGTTCAGTGGTCATTGAACCAGTTGAAATCTTACTGCATGTTTAAGCCATATTCCTTTGCATCCAAGAAACCTTTGAGTGAGTTCTGTAGTAGTGCTGGTCTACAATCAAAGCAATATCTTCACGACAGAATTGTGTAATGCTTTTCCTTCAGCTGGTCAACGCAAGTTAGTTTTGAAGGACAGACTTGTTGAATGCATTCTGCATATTTGTATTTTCTCGCCACCGAGTTCTTCCAGCGTGTTATGTTCAAGGATGAAATATTGCAAGACGATGATTTAAATTCCTGAACAAACTGCCTTTGGAGAATGCACGAGGTTTGAAATATGACAAGGGGCTTTTTTCATGCTTCCATTGACATTTCATCAGAATGCTTCCTTCATTGGCATTTCAATCCTTTCAGATAATGCTGACATGATTTATATATCACTCACTTCACCACGCGTGGACTTCCTGTAGTCTCAAGGACATACCGCCTCATAAATCCCTTCATCCATCATGCGAGATACATCAAAATGAGATGGCCCTTTCCAGCATTACGTGGGATAAAGAATACCTGGATTTCAGTATAATGTCACGGTAGTGGACACTATCCAACTTCAGTTCAAAGGTCTTAGCACGCCATATCGAAATATCTTAGCAGATTCTACTCTCAAACTTCAGCCCATCCGGATCTGTCTCAAACTTCATGTCATACCGCATGCATGTAAGTAAGAGTATTGATATCGATAACTCCTGGAAACCTATCGTTGATCTCATATCGTTCAGCAGTGGTTACAAAAAAGACGCTATCCCGAAGATTTTTCACAAAAAGGATGAATACAACTTAACACTCAGCTTTCCCTTCATGTTGAACAATATCCCAGCATGTCGTCCTGATCATTCTGTAGAAGAACAGAGCGACGAGCATCATAAAACGGAGTGAAGCTCTCGTCGATATTTGATGATATTATTGCAAATATACAATGAACACTGGTTTCCAGATGTTGAAGTTTTATTCATGGTGTAGTTCTTTTTCAAGATTCAAAATTTGTATTACAGTATTAGAGGCCTCCAGCCCAAAGTACATGTTTTGTCTGACAAACCTCCTTTCACAGAAGGTTACATAAAAGTGAATGAATACAAACAAATGGTACAAGTACAATATAAGTAATGAAAAAGAATGCAGGAGAACATTTCAAACAGCTTTTAGCAGCATATAGATAATAATATATTTTATGAACGCTTTAGGTGTAGTTGTATTGTGGCATTGACGTTATAAACATTTGTAATCTTTCTTCATTATTGCTTTCTTCGTTACGAACCTTCATCAATGAGGGAACAAGGCCATCGTTACAGTCACTTGGTATTATTAATATGTCAATGACACTTTCCTGACTACAGGCTGTGTATGTGACCGCAATTCTTCCGTACATTCTTCTCGTCTCCATCTTCATCCCAACACTGCTTCAGCCAGGTGCTGCAGATGGCTTACACTTCTACGTTGTACCCGACTTCAACAAACTGCTTGACATACAGGTGTGTTATATACTATTTCACGAAACGCGAGGTGTGTTATGCCTTCAGCACACTTCTTGATAAAGGTGTCTATAGACGCTTCGGAATGTTCAATCTGTATGAGGGAGGTTGTTTCCATAAGGGTCACACAGTGATGATTTGGAGAATAACCTGTAGCAAATACCTGTTGATACAGGTGTGGATGGAAGCATGTCTGCAAGTCTTCTATTCCCTGGGACCTGGCTTTGGAATGATTGGTACCGCTGCAAGCTACAAAAACTTCCACTAACCATGTCTCAGGTGAACAGCACTCATACACGATATTAGAAATTACGGCAAAATGATTATGGTTAGACTTTCGCCTGAATAATACTACTTATCGCACCAAAAAAATCAACAGAGAAATCCTCCATAAGTGTAAGAATATATATTTTTTGTGACATGCCCTGGTCATTGGTGTTTACCAGAATGTATCCATGTGTGCATGTATGCATGTGTGTATGTATATGTACATGTACATATATATGTGTGTATTTACAGAGATTGCCTCATATTGACAGTAGTCTCTGAAGGAACCAGTATCTTCTGTGGCCTGGTGACGTTTGTTACCCTCGGGGTCATGTCACAGAAAACGGGTGTTCCCATTGAAACCGTTGTTTCAAGTGGTAGGTAGCAGTAAGTGTAGTTAGAGGTAGTGCTACAATTGTAAGTTATTAGGTCATTGCTGGGGCTTTGTTTGTATTTTAGGTTGTGTTTTATTTGTGTTTTAATTCGGTGTCTTTTGGGTGGTGATAGTGATGGGGGCTTAATGTTCAATCTTGTCTAAATGCTACTTACTATTGAGAAACGGCTGCATGGACTGATCTCTGACATTCATATATCAGGATAGCATGTTTTAAGAGCTCATATGATTTATCTAGCAAGAATTTATAGAGTGGTATACGCCTCTTAATCAAATAATATGACTGCAAAGGTCTCAGTAAAGCTTTCAAAAATCACTAACAAATGTAATGCCCAATACAATGTCCATATTTCCGTTGACATAGTCAACGCCTGGTCTGTCTGTCCGTCCGTAATTTAAGAAATTTCCGGAGCATAACTCAAAGAACTTTCAATATCTATCAGCAGAACTTGACAGATGCATGAGACTGATCCTGAAGTAGTGCCTTTTTGCTATTTGCAGACTTTGGGCATTTATTTTTCGATATCCCTCGAAATGATTTGGACTTAGTCTAAAAATATCAAATTGGACTTTAAGTAACTGTCAGACGATTTATTCTTTAAAATTTGTTGGGACAGAGGGATTTGTCATCTTCTTATTACTCTTGTTTGACTTGTACCATATGCTCCGCTTTTCCGTGTGAATAAAAAGACTCAACTCACCTTTAATGAAGACCTATGCAATAGTGATCCATACACTTGTGCATGGTACATTTAGAACCGTTCACTCGGCTCTCCTGTTACCAGAGATATGTCGTTGCTGCGGAAGTGGTGTGAGCACATGTATTTTATCCCGTTCATGTCATATGGCCAGACTTCGCCTGGTTTACTCCCATCGCCTTGGCACGCTTAAAATAGCTGTGGAATTCCTTGCTTTCATCATGAGTCTTGACATGCATCACCAGCGGATCATCCGATAAATAAATATGTGCAAACGTACACAATACAATTATATCATGAAGAGCCTCTACATTAATCAAACCCCTACCTCCAGAATTGATTGGCATATATAAACAATTAAGAGAGGAATGAGGGTGGTGGGCTCTGTTATCAGACATGATCCTTCTGGTCAGGCGGTCAAGATTCTGGATGTCTTGTTTTGTCCAATCAACTACTCCAAAGAAATAGGAAAGGACTGGCACAGGAAAAGTATTGATGGCCTTGACCTTGTTTCGAGCATTTAGCTCTGAGCTCCAGATTTTCTTTAAGCGAGATTTGTACTCGGCCCGAAGTTTTCTTGAATTTGGGCACTCTGGAGCTTGTCTCGAACGTATTGTCAGTTGTAGATTAAGTACATTAACCCCTGTTTTATTTCATTATTTGTCGCAATGTTATCATGGAGATGTGTGTGGTTACTTTCCAGTAAAGGTCAATAATGCATACTTGTTCCTAAAAGGTCCAGGTTTGGGATTTGTAACCTATCCACAAGCCCTGGCACAACTTCTTCTTCCTCAGATGTGGTCCTTCCTGTTCTTTCTGATGTTGCTGATGGTTGGTCTGGATTCACAGGTACTCGATGCACGACTCCATGAAAGTGTTTAATATTGAATAATAATGGTGGCTGGAGGAAAATAACCAGCACACACACAGACCATTCCTACTCAACACTGAGCATTTTGAAACTAAAATTCCAGAGTATTACCAAAAGTGGTTTTATGTCCAGATATGCCATTATAACTAGCAAGCTGTACAATGAACTGCTGTTTCTTTCAGTTCATGGGAGTTGAAGTCGTTATTTCTGCTCTGGTCGATCAGTATCCACGGCAGCTGGGCAAGAGGAGGATCCTTGTAACTGGAGGATACTGCCTCATCGAATTTCTTCTTGGAATCATATTCTGCACACAGGTAAATATGCACATTATTTACAAGATATAATACCATTCCACAACCTACATCCAAGCCTCCAAAATATGACCCGGAGGTCACAGTATTTACGAAAGTAAATTTCGAAAATGGAGGTGATAGTATTTGTAAATGTAATAGTCTACAAAAGAATGTTCCCTTAATGGAATATATCATTTGCCTCGCTCGATGGGTGAAAGCGCTCACATTGAGAATAAACCTACCGCAGAATAATCACATAACTTCGAAGTTCCGGGGGCAGCTTCTATTCTGAGAAATTGTACAGTTTTGATTGGTAAGAGGACTGTGGTTTGACTCCAGGTGCGAATACAAACAATACACTTGTTTCCTGCGCAATTTTACCCATCCTACAGAGAAGAGCAAAGATTAAAACATTACTGAAGCCAGCGTTTAAGCTTACTCCCAAAATTCCAAGCCATACCAGTCCGGATACAAACTTGCCTGTCTGGTTTTCAACGATAAAAAACACAAATAAAATCAAGTTTCTGCATACTTTACTGCATGAATTGTAACGTTAAGGCTAAGCTACATGGCCTTGTTACAAATTAGAAATCTGTTGCATTTTCTGCCTCACAATCACAATCAGAGAAACCTCTACCAGACCACCGGACAGGCTACTTTTGAAATTTGACCGTCCGAGATGAAAATAGACCGGACGGTCGGGCAGGCGGGAATTTTAAAGGCTGCTGAAGCGTCGTAAAATCATTACGATTTGCCTTAGTTTAAGCATAGTTACGGTGAAACATTACATCATTGCTCGTGGATTCCGTATTTGAAAGTTACCTACAAATCTGTATGTATAAGAATTAACCGTGAAACCATCAACAGCAACGTGGTATGATTAACTAGTGTATTCTCAAATATATAAATTTTACAAATCAATACAAGTTACAGTGATGGATTCACAAATTTCAGTACGAGGGCGTTGGTATGGGTTACGCATATTCCAGCAATATTGTGGCGGGGCTAACCATAATGACTTTCGCATATTGCACCCATGGCCATGTGGGGAACTGAACCTGATTATTCGGAATGACAAGCGAATGCTTAAACCATTAGGGTACCCCACTGACGAGAGAGACGCTCAGGTACTTTCTATCTGGGTCAGGGTATGACAGACAGACAGATTTTATTGACGCATGCTACGTGGGCCTCTGGCCATACATACAATACACTATAGATAATATTTATGTTGGATGGTGAGGACGACATTAGTAATAAGTTAAAAGTGGTTTCTTACACGGAATGCTTCACACACATATCTACCTAGAGAGCGTTAAGTATTAATGTTTTCTGATGATAATAACTGTACACATTTATAAACTGAATAATTTTTAGAGTAATATTTCTTTAAATGAATAGATCTTAGGTGAGTATACGATGGACACTAGAGTAAAAAGTGAAATTCGTCTTCTATATCGTTAAGATTCCAGTTCGTACAATTCTTTCATCCCGTGGGATTTTATTACTAAAGTACTGTCGGAAATGCTAGAAAAATGCTTTTTGACTTTTATTTAAAATTCAGAGGTATTACAGTTACTTTAATAACAAATATCACTTCAAGAAACATCTACCTAATGTAGACCGAGGGAAAATATATTTTGAGACATGCTCTAAAATGTGATTTTACTGATGAAAATACCAAAAACTTAGAAAAATAAGGGGTAGTGGGACGTTATTTGATACAAACATTAACTGCCTGTGTTACGGCATCAGCAAGCACGGTATCGACAGGTGAAATTGACACCTGAGCACACGCTCGGGCGAGGGGTCATCTCAATAGATGTTTTCTGCAAAATGTTGAATATGTGTACGTATAGTATACGTATCGGTTATGTAAGGGATCATTTGTGTATGTGTATTTGTTTTGAAATAAACATACGAATTACTGTACATTGGAAAGAATCCTATCACTTGTGTTATCTTATCGATTGATTGTAGAAATGTACAACGTTTTAATAAATGTTTTGCATGTCAACAGTATATTTCATTGAAAAATATGGATATAATTCGGTCAGTTTAATCTAATTGTGAACATTGGCCAAAGATTTAACGAAGTCACTGGTGTAGCTTCTTCAGAATATATATATTTTTCTTCTCCTAAAGTTTGTAGACAGCCCGTCTAAGCACTCCCTTGTCAAGTTGTCAAGGATGGTTTTACGTCCCGGTTTTGCATTTGAGACTGTCCCTCTCTTGTCTGATTTGTTTACAATACTGTAAACTTATTGGTAAGACATGCCAACAGCTCTACAAGTTCTGTAACAAACCCTTTCTAAACTAATGAAAGGTTTACCTCTGTCTTTTTTAAGCAGAAAAAAACTATAAACCTTTGCAACAATCGACTGAAAATCGTTGGCCACAGTGGACGCTGTGATAAAGATGTGCATGCATGACGGGAAACTTATTTATCAAGACTTAACATTTATATTAATAATTCTTCAAAACAGAAACGATAATTAAGTAAAGTAACACAAACATTCAACATTTATTTGTTTAGGAAAAACGTTAATTCATATTTTACACCACCTGTATTATTAGCATAAATGTAAAGACTATTTCAGATTTCTGTTGTTGAACTGAAAAAATCTTAAGTTGCTGTTTTGGTACCAAATTCTCTCCTGTAAACTGCCCTTTAAATGCATGGGAATGTTAAATCGGTTGAAATAAAAATTAGGTAGACAATAGGCGAGTTGATATATTGACAACATAGTACATGTATCACCTTTATAAAGATATTAAGGCTAAAAAGCATTTTTCTAGCATTTCCGACAGTACTTTACCATGTCTACCAGTTTCAATAAATAATGTGTGAGATGATAATCTTAATTTACATAATTCAGACCTGTGGTTACAATTAAAAACATTAAGTAAATACATTTCAAAACCCAAATTTCACTTTTAATTGTTTGAATAACATATAAGTAGTAGAATTCCTCATCTAAATTTATCTTGTAGTCGTTGTTTTAATAAAAACATGAAAACGGGAACATTTACCTATAAGGGAAACAGGCATGCATAATAAAAACCGTTGCTCATTAAGATATGTTTTACTTTAGAATACCAGCCAGATCTTTCATCTAAAATAGAATTCACTTCTCTCATAATGCAATTCTTTGCTTGAACAACCTTAAACCAAAACTTTACCATCTGCAATTCACGCTGTATGCCTACTGGGAATCTTCGGAGTTCACCGTACACTAATAAATTACTTGTATTTTTACAAAATCTACGAAGAACTCTTTCAATACATTCTGTTTCCACCCCCAAATCTCACAACCATAATGTAAAACAGGTACAACACAGTCATCAAATAAGTCAAACACTACTTTCACATTTATCATATTGGTCCCAACTTCTCTGAGTAAAGCATTACACGCCTTCAGGCACCAATCCGATGATATGTTAATAGCTGGTGAAAAGTTTCCATTAGATTTAAATAGTAAACCTAAATCATTAAATTCAGCAACACTTTCAGTGGGTACATTACCATAATAGAAAACCTGCTTTGATAAAATATATGACTTTCTGAAAGTAACTACTTTAGTCTTACCGATATTTACAGATAAGCCCCAAATATTGCAATGTTCTATAAACTATTACGTTGGGATTGTAAACCAGTTGCAGATTTACCCATAAGAACCATATCATCTGCGAAAAGATGTAAAAACATCATTATATCGTGTGTGTCGATACCAGGAGTAACATTTTCCTGTAACGTAATTCAAGATCTTCTATGAATAAGGAAAACAACAATGGAGAGAGAATTTTGCCTTGACGTAGACCAGTATCTTATGTAAAAACTTCGCTAATCTCATTATTATATCTAACACACCATTTAACATCCTGTACATGGCCCTGCTTATGTTGGGAAACTTCCCCCTATACCTAACTTAATTAATTTAAGCCACAGTCCGTTACGATAAACACTATCAAACGCCTTCTGGTAATCAATAAAAGCACAAAATAGTTTCTGTTTTCCCTTAAACACATGATCTATCAATCTAAAATAAATATAACATCTATCGTACTACAACCTGCTTTGAATCCGAACTGAGCATCAGAAATCATGTAAAACATATCTGTAACATTACTTAATTTCGCATTTAGAACTTAAGTAAATAATTTATCCAAACTGTTTAAACAACGCATGAACATTCCGGTTGCTCCAGATGCCTCACGTTTTTACTCCAAGTCTAAACATAAGTAGCACACCAATCCCCGCTAATGATTTATTAACAATGTTATACATCAGCAACACTGTTTCCATAGAATACAACTGACACATATCGTGTATTGCAGGGAGGGCCGTACATGTTTCAGCTGGTAGACTGGTATGTAGTCTCCCTCGGGCCAATGGTGATATGTACACTGGAATGTGTTGCTGTGTCATGGATCTATGGTGCGTATTTCAGTACCTAATCAGAATATGTTTGTCAAATAGAATACTTCTGCATGAATTGTTCTAATTTTTATAACAGGTATTCTGGCTTAGATCCTTCGTTAGCTAGGCTGATTGTGATGGCTGGGTGGTACGTCTGGGAACGTTGGAGATTGCAGGTGATCGAACCCTGAATGTATTAAACATTTAAAATATCAGTCATTGGATTGTTAGATCCAGAATCAATGCTATGGAGGCTAAATAAAGCTTAAATGAATAAAATACCTACCTGCAACAAAGGACACAAACTGACAAAAGTTGGATCGACTCATAGACCCTTTCTGCCAGGTATAAAACGGATCAGTAGCGACGCTGAGATGATGTTTGGAAAGCAATTGGCGATTCCTGTAAAGATACTCTGGGCATTCGTAACACCGGCAATCCTACTGGTAAGTTCAATACATAATTGGAGTCATAGGGGGTGTAAGTCTCGCGCATTCTCATTTCCGGTGTCCAACTTCCGGTGACAAACAAACCAATCGGAGGACCGGTTATACAAAGCAGTTGCGCTACGCCACATACGTTCCTATTCGCCCGCCAATGAGACTGTTGCCAAGTCGTTCTAACCGCGGGAAATTTCTAACGGTAAAAGCATGGTTATTTGTTTCGTGTTTGGGTGTAATCACCGAAGCAATAGGGATTCCTGCAGCTTTTTCAGGTTTCCGGACAATAAACGAAGCCTATGGGGTCGTCTGTCAAGGTAAGATTACCAGAGTAAACGGGTTTAGCAGTTTTTTTTCGGACATGTCCGTAGTGGAGTCATCTCAGACCCCTACTGCCGTGCTGACTAAAACGCCTACAGAAATTATGCTGTAAAATGTACATGTATTAACACATATGTAGTTGGTCAGTTAATGGATAATTCGGGCCCGATAATTCTTTGTGAATAATTCGAATTAAAATGTAAAATACTGCAGTACTAAATTGACTCTTGAGGTTTGATTTTCACACAATGTCATGGATCTCGTGTAGTGAGGCCATACAACATATGCTATTGGAAGTATTTCAACCTTTATAATGGATAGGCTTAATCGGTTTTAATTGTTATTTTAAATTATTTTGTAATTTCAGAAGGCTCGACAGATACCCAACATCCGAGAATGACAGGATTTGTTCATGTCATTTTGAAGGTGGCACAAAGGATGGTGATCCCATATTTTTCCCCCACAACAAAGGAAAACTGTTTCAGTTCAAGGATCCCAAACCACAGAGGTATAATGTTTTGCAGTTAATACATACATTTGCAATTTAAATGAGTAATCTATAATTAAATTTGTATTTATATTTAGGGTATATATTTATGATTATTATTTATTTTTCCTACAGAAAAAGGAGTGTGCCTTTGGAGTGCAGTGATGTACCGGCAATCCCACTGGCTCAGAGTCCTGATGTCCAAGCTGAACCTGAACACAATGGAAGGACGGATGTAGTAAGTATTTTTCATGTCAGTATAATATCAATGTTTGTTTAAAAACATATAGCACATTATGCACACTATGTCATTATTTTCTACTTCTCTAAATCTTTGTGCTGAATTTATTGTTCCAATACCAATATTTGTACCATAGGTGATGGAACATGGTTACGCCATACAGTGTGGAGACCAGTGTGTGGGGAAGCTGACTTCGTTAACCACTGAAGTCCAAGACTTGAAGGCCACAATCAAGTCCCTAGAGCAGGAAATCCACTCCTTAAACCTAAGGCGTTCAACCTTTTCTATCAACGATATAAGTGGCAGTGAAGAAAAGGTTGGTTAACAAATAACAGATTTTAACAGCAAAACAAATGTATATAATAATTTTGTTTTACTTTCTCATTTATCTCTACCCCTTGGCCATTACAAAATTTAAAATAATGGGAACTTAAGTCACTTGTCATTTCCCTGTACACATAAAACAACACTCAAAATGTATAATACCTATTCTTATTAAAGGAGGGCTTTCAGGTGTGCTAATAATATTGTTGCCACTACAATTAAGTTAACAATGTATGTTAAATGCAGCCGCAACAATCTAAGTAAACCTCAAATATGTTTATGAGTGTTGGTGTGTGTGTGTTGAGAGGAGGACTGGGCGCTAAATATTTTGAAGTACTGGTATTAATTTGAATGTGTGTTTACAGATGCTACTCTACACAAGCATTCCCTACGATGTCTTCAAGATCATCTGCTCCATGCTGGAACGCTTCGACCTCAACTACTATGCTGGATGGAAACCATCAATTGTATCCTTGGAAAATCAGCTTTTGCTAACTCTCATGAAACTTACCATGAACAGCAAAGATCTCGATTTGGCACAAAGATTTCAAATCAGTCGTGCTACGGTGTCCAATATCTTCAATACCCTCATCCATGCTTTACATGAACTCTTTTCAGGTGTTATGGATAACTACATGCCCAGTCAGACTAAGTGTAAAGGCAGCATGCCCAAGTCTTTTGAAGATTTTGGTAGTGCTAGGGCATCTATCGATGCTATAGACTGACTGACTGACTGAGTTTGGTTTTACGCCGCTTTTAGCAATATTCCAGCAACATCACGGCGGGGGACACCAGAAATGGGCTTCACACATTGTACCCATGTGGGGATTCGAACCCGGGTCTTCGGCGTGACGAGCCAACGCTTTAACCACTAGGCTACCCCACCGCCCCTCGATGCTATAGAGATGTCTCAGGATATCCCCAAAGACCTTGACTGTCAAAATAGAGCGTACAGCAACTACAAGTCCCGCCATACTGTTAAAGCTGTGACAGCTGTGGCACCTAATGGCGCTCTAACATATTGCACCAGTCTGTATCCTGGGTCAACATCAGATGTAGCTATTGTTAGCCATTCAAATATGTTGTCTTCTTTCAAACCAGGTGATCTTATTTTAGCTGATAAGGGTTTTACTATTCATGAAATGTTGCCACCAGGTGTAAGTTTAAATATCCCTCCATTTCTGTCAGGTAAGTCTGTTTTCACAAAAGAGGAAGGTAAAATGTGTTACAAGATTGCAAGAGCCAGGATACACGTAGAAAGGGCGAATGAGCGCATTAAAAACTTTGATATTCTAAACCACATTCCTGCAATTTATCGCCCTATCTCAAGTAAGATTTTTCAGGTTTGCTGTTTTTTGATAAATTTGCAAGCTCCATTACTCAAAGAAATAAATAAAGATTGAACATTAACAAGTATCACTATCCTTTGAAAGAACAAGAACACAAAAGATCAATCTGAAGTTTATTTTAATATATATTTCACAACTGCAAATATTCAAGTATTTTCATCAATGTATTTCTGAAATCTGCATAAATCAGCCATCTTTTTCCATTGATATAGGTGAGGTGTTTCAAGTTGACTCCTGCTGGCAACATTGCCTGGTTGCCTACCACTAGGGATGGGACGAGGAATCCCTGCCACTAGCTCTTCAGCTGAGTACCTTATTTGTCTAAAATTATCAGATAACAAGTTCAAAATGAATGACATTTTAATAAAACAAATTCACAAAATCCACTATAATGAAGCAATTTTTTGTATGATATATTCAGGGCATGATTCATGTAAACAAGTGTCTTAAGTAAACAATATTAAATGTAATTGGTTCAGAGAGAGTCTATGTGCCTATTACCGGCCTATTCACATATTGATATGGTACATATATTAAAATCACACCATAACTTAAGGCCATTACATGTGTATGAAAAACCTAAGGATACATCTAAATCATGATAACCCTTTCATAATTTCCAGACATTTACATATAAAATGAAATACTCATGAAAATTCTGGAAACACATAATGAAACGCTTGGAGTACATTGTGTGTTATCTCTTCCCTCCATATGTAATAACATATTTTGAATATTAACATACTTTAATTAGATTGTAACATACTAAAAGTGTATTTTCATTTCAGGAACACTGTGGACACGCTCAAGACACAATACAACAAGATGTCGAATGTATATTATTTTTACAATGTGTCCTGTACAGATACTAATGAAAATAACTTTTTAAACATAATGGATGACTGATTTTCTCACCAAACATTTGTACATTTTTATAGCTAAGTTGTAAAATGAGATCACTTGTAAATAAATACATGGACTGTGGATAAGCACTGAGTACTATTTGTGGTTGGGCATCTGATAAAGATATGTTCAGTTACAGTTTCGCGTAAAAATATATAAGTTGATACACGTTACAATGGAAGTTGAAATTTACAATTGACAAACTGTACAAGATTCAAATACAGCCATACCTATTGGTTCAGACAAGTTTGTTTCATGATCAACTTACACCATGCCCTAAACAATTAACCATTTAATACAGGTGTTTGGGATCAACCTACCCCTAGGGTATCCAATAACTGTCATGGTGCGTCATGTATCCACAACTCATGCTTCTTGCATGAAGCCCATGGGTGGTTAACCCGAAACAAAAATGTGTCGGGATAATAATTAAAGGCATTGTTTAAGTTGATACTGAGACAAACTGGTCTGAATTTTACAACAAATCACATGTGGCGGTGGGGTAGTCTAGTGGTTAATGCGTTGGCCTGTCATGCCGAAGACCCGGGTTCGAATCCCCACATGGGTACAATGAGTGAAGCCCATTTCTGGTGTCCCCCGCCGTGATATTGCTGGAATATTGCTAAAAGCGGCGTAAAACCAAACTCAGTCAGTCAGTACAACAAATCATCAATTGCACACTAAAAGAACATAGTCTCTTTTTCAAAATGTCAGCGTTGTTGTCACCATTCACAATATCTCCATATAGCCATGCTGAAATAAAAAGAAATTTATAATTATAACTTAATGTGGTCATGGGAGATTATTTAATCATGTAACAAAGTTCATCTTGTTCATAAGACAAACCATGAAGAATTGTTTCAGAAGGCATAAAGTAAGTGAACATCTTTTATAAGCCAGAAAATCCAACAGTAATCAATACATTTAAAAAGGGCTACCTAGTTACTGCAAAACGTTTCTTATAAACAAATGATTGTCAGTTAGTAGCCTATTATTGTCTTATCATTCTTTACTATGTTCATACAAGGCACTGGTGTGTTTGAAGTGTAATGAAGGCTGCAATATTTTCATGAAACTCTTAAACATACTTCAAATACAAACGACACAAAAGCTTCATATTACTATAAGATATATGTAACATGATGGAAACAAGTTGAATACTCAGCTTCGTGTTGCTGTTTATGTTGTGGTGAACAGTCCACTGGTGATCCAGAGCCGATCCTTGGGGTGCTGATACCTTGTTTCAGGATAGCCTTGATCCTTCTTCATATCCTCTGCAGTCACTTGGTCTTCTGTTGACTAGCTACCCACACTAAGACAATATGGTTGGAAAGTACTTGTCATAAAAGAAATCTATCAGCTTTGAGATATTTGAAGCCCATTCTGGATCCCGGTATATTCTGTGTATGTCCACGGGATGTCCAAATGAGGAGGTCACAGCATGTCTTCCCCATGATGTACAGTTGGCCTTGGATCTGATGGTAGTATTCATGGTCATTTGGCAAAGTAATTCTCCCATCAGTTCTGACTGCAAAGCAATATCATTTCAATAAGTAACATACCATTTCAATAACAGAATCTTGAGTGTATCTTTATACTATTTTCCAATAACTTAAAAAAAAAAAACTTTGATGTTCTTGTTTTGGCATGTAATTTGACATATTCTATATCAACTGGTAATACACTGAAGTGGTATTTGTAATTTCACAGTACTAAACAAACTTTAAACTTCTGTTAATACCTAAGCAAAAATTCTTTTGACCAATGGCATCCAACGGTGGCTTGTCTCTGGCAGAAAATGGACACTTAACTTCGATGATGTCTGGTGGTGGTGTTGCAGACTGTGGAATTGGGGTTAGCACAATTCCATCTGGGGAAGCGCCGAGAATTCCTGATTCGTGAAGCCATATGCCTACAACGATGCATGTAACATAAGAAAGAAAATCCAGCAACCAAATTGTTTCTCATTACACTTTGTTTTTCATTTTTTAAAAGGCAACAATATCACGCCACACATCTCTACAAAGTACATAATGCATTTCTCTCAATAATACTATCAATCCCCAAGGAAGCTACCATATAATTTATTCCAATTAAAATTACGTATTTAGATTACAATATTACAATAAAAAGTTGGTCGAACATTATTTCATGCGAATCGCGTAGAATTACCTCCCTTCGTCCCTTGGAGCACTCTTCATGAATATTGTAAAATTCAACTTGTGATTGAAACCAGTTCACTGACAACACCACGTGTATATATATACCTACCTGTTTCTTCAACCTTAGCCCCAAGTTTATGATATTGGTCAATAGCGTTCCTTTCATGGTTGATCCCCCCAAGCAATTGAGTCCTTCTTCTCCAAGTTGTAAGGGGAACTGAGGCGTTTCCAAAATGAAGGTGGGTAGCTGAAAAATTAAAATGATACTTGTACAACTAAAAAATCATGCAATGTATGAACTTGATAAATGTAATGCTCCTTTCATGCTTTTTCACTTCAAACATGTAATGCATGTAATCCCAAATTACCCCAAAAAAGGTCATCAATTACATAATGAATGAATATATAATTTAAATTAATAAACCAATTCACACAATATGAATAAAATCAACAAAGTAACAAAACATTACGTACCTGTTTCTTTGGATAGCTCTCAAAATGAATCCAAAGTTTGATGAAGTAATCCTGTGTCTACGTACGATAGACCACATAGGATTGCTTCGCTGGCCTGAGGTAGCTGATGCTATGGTCTTCACTTTCTCTGGTGAAAGGAGAAGGGTCTTAGCCAGAAATGTCCTCTTACACAACGCTTGGATATATCCTGCACTCATAATAACATCCTCAACAGGAACAACGCATGGATCTTCTTTCTTTGGCTCTGGTGAGAGTATCCATTGCAAAGCTGAAAGGGGGAAATGAAATTAATAAATGTGGACTTTCACTTAAAACTGGTAGATGTTAGTTGATAACAAAGGAATACTTCTGACTTGTTAAATCTTGTTCATGTTAATTGTTATCATTAAGTATAATAGTTGCAATTATGATTAGGCCTTAAAAAAAAGCTTGTTCCGATTTCCCGACCGACCCTAAATATTCCTGCCGAGCCTAACAATTTTACTCACCACATAATAAATTAAATTTATTTTCTGACACATGAGTAATGTAAAAATATTTTGAAAAAAAACAACAAAAACTACCTGCCTACCCTAGTTCTGAAATGTAGGAAATCGGAACATTTTTTGGTTTGTTTGGCCTTACGCTCCTTTCAATTATCTCCAAACAAAACTCAGTTGTTACATTAAATAATTGTGGTCTTTGATTTGAAGCAAAAACAACAGCAAAAAACATGAAGAAATCTTTCCCAATTCTAACATGAAAGTGATAAGAACAAATAAGAAAAACAACAGGTAAAATTCATTCACAATTAAAAAATATTATAACATCAGAATAAAAGGAGAAACATCAAACAGTAATATAACACAACACAAATTTGAGGAGACTAATAACCAGTAAATCTTCCAAGCTTCTCCAGTTCACTACATAACTGGTCTCGATCTTCTTGAGTAACCTCTCTATTTAGTGCTCTGTTTAGATAAACAAAAGTAACAGGAAAACATTACTATATCAGATATTTTCATTTACAAACAGCACATGAGTTGTCACTGAGGTAACTGAAAAACATACTAGTCTACTGGATAAAATTGTAAGATTTGGACATTATTGTAACGTTTTCCATGTGGAAATATGTTGGTTTTAGTTACCTGTATCCTGGTTTTCTTGGAGGAAACAGGTCCTCCATAGTTGCAGTGTCAGCCCTCATCTTAGACTTTGGTTTCTTCAGCCAGCTGCACTTAACATCTGTCTTGCTTGCACGCTTGTAACTACCAAGTAAAAGTGAAAACAACAACTCTAAGAAATAATCTGAATTATTTTTTTGTTGTTTACATGTCATTATGACAGCTAAAACTTGATTGATATAAATGCTTAAGTTCATAAAAATATAAACGGTACACCCGAATTTAATAATGGTTCTGTCACTTTCAGCTTGATATAGGCTTTCACAAGTAATATAACTGGTATATTTTTCAGCAAATATTATTGAAAATACTGCACCATTTAAAAGAAATATTCTAGACAAATGAACACACATAAATTCAATCACTCACCCAAACAGGAGAACAGCGGCGACATGGTGGCAATAGAAATTACCCATTGGACAATCACACCTGGTCACGTCCGTCCCATAGAGGTCATTTAGTTCAATCTGTAAGTAAACAGTGTACAGTTGGCTTTTGTATTCTCGAAATTATTGGTTTCTACAGACAGACACACGGAACTTATACCTTCTTGATTTCCAAATGAATACTTTTACAACACATTTCATACATAATAATATTCGTATTTCGCGCCCAAAATTTAAAGCACTGACCTGCACTCGGTAGGATTTGTCCATTCATTGTCCACGCTTGAAACATGGATCCTTCTCACAGTGGACTTTGCCAAGCAATTTTGGCCTGTCTGGTGTAATTCATACATAAAACGCCATAAAAACTTTGTACCCGATCGCAGCTCACACACGAATTTTCGGACTTGCGAAATCAATTTTCATGGCCTGTCTGAAGAAGTGTAATTCACCCCCTCAGTACATATATGGAGAGCGCCATTGCTGAAAACTTTGTTTGTCACCGGAAGTCACGAAATCTCGCGATGCGCAGGATCCTCACTTACACGCCCTATGTGCTGCCCCTTCTACCGATACCCGTCTACATGGTCATGACTATCAGGAAGCACATGGCGACCAATTCCATGAAGAAGGTGACATGGCATCTTTATTTTACCCCTTGGCGGTATGGTTGGTTGACATGTATGCGGGTGGGTGTCGAAAATGACAATGTGCGTGACATTTGAATTAAAACGTCTTTGGGCTGGCCCTCATGGTGATCATAAAGCGGCAATGCAGTCCAGTTTCTGTTATTTATTTATGTATTTAATTATTTTATTTATTTATTTAAATTGACCCAGCACAGATAAACTTTACAAGACGGGTATGTTCATGAAGCCGTGACTAATCAGGTGATTTGTCTCTGTCGACAGAGTATAAAGATTGCCTTGAGACCTGATGCTGACTGGCGTCCTGCGAACTCCAGATGAAGAGATAGCATTGCATAATGAATCAACAAACCCTTCGAGACTACCCTCTTCAGAAGGATTTTACCACTACTTCTTTCAGTGTCACCGTATATTTTTTCCATGGATGCCCAGTTTTATCATCTCTGTCAGGGTCAGTGTGGGTGATTAAATATTGCTGAACGCCGTATCAGCAATTTGGCAGCTATTCGATGCGTGAAATGTGTTTTGTTTTGCAATAAAGAGAACACAATAACAGTAATTATCAAATGGTTAGAAACTGTTCGAAAAAAGTGAGATAAAGTAGGAACATATCTTCAAAACGTTGTATAATATGTGAAAACATAAACACAATGTGCACAGCAAAATGTGCTTAATAGTAATGGGTCTATGGCAAGGACCCTTGTGATGAAAGAATCACGGTCAAGCATGTACTTCTTGACTGTATTGAATATTCCATCAAAAGGGATAACAAATCACGAACTATAAAGGATCTTTTCAATAATATAAATTCTCATTTAGTTATTGCATTTTTAAAAGAATAAGATTTGTTGAGTGATTTGTAAATAGATAAATATTTTATGATTGGAAGTTTAAATTTGTAACTTAAATTGTTAGTGGCTGTATCCTCAAAGGGGGTTAAAGTACTGTTAAATTATTGTCCTGAGAGGTTCCTAAAGTCCCCAAACAATCGAAGTATATTAAAACTTTACACTTTTTTAATCGTAGAATACATGTCTTTTAATATATGGCTAGATTTGCTAAATTGCTAACGGCTGAAGGGATAGTGTAAATCCAGCTAGGGTCCATGCAGGAAGCAAATGTACTGTAAGTCCCTATGGTCCCTAGTATGGTGATCTACCTTCAGTTGTTGGCAATCTATAGCCTGTTTTTATATTGTATTGTCATGTATAGTTAAAATATTTTAGATTTAATAACTAGTTTTAAATTTATATTTGTGATAATATAGATGTTTTACTGTTCATTGACAGAATTTTATCATATACTTTAAATTGTTAAAGGTCACATGCAACGTAAAACACAACTTTGCAGATTCTGATACCTTTCGGTATGGACTTACCGAAACAAAGCGTCAAAAATGCAAATTCAACTTATAAAGTTGAAAAATAACGCGATGAAAAAAAACCGCGCTAAATCGGAGTTCAAACGTTTCACTAATTTTCCCCAGACTTTTCTGGGGAATACGGGTTTCAACAGCTGGGCTGCGCTCATAGCACGTGCGCATTGAAATAGGTTCGCGCAACTTGGAAGCGGGCTGTCTGGTGAAACTCGGTGAAGGCTTTGGTGTGAACCATTTTATAATGTTTTGTTGATATCTCACAGGCGCGAGCTTTTTATATGTTATGACAGTAAATAAACTGTTTACATAATTTCATTTGTCCATTTCACCACACGTTCTTCTTACCGAGTCACTTTCTCAGTTAGATACTTAAAAGCAATGTCATTATTTAGCGTTGACACAATTTCTAACTGTGATATAGATATGTCGCTGTCACAGACAAAACTCAATGTCTTGTTTTACTGACACCTGTGTGTCTGCCTGCCTGTCTGCTAATGACAATAATCAATACACAACTGCGATCACTGACCACATGCAATTTGAACTTAACACCAATCAGGCTATACACCATAAACAAAACGCATTGATTTATGGCCCGAGTTTGGTCTCTGTCACATTATGTAATTACACAGACAGGCAGGTGTGATACTTGAACACATGACATGTTATGATGTCTGTTGATTGCAAAATGTTATACACAAAAAATGAGCATGTATTTACAAAACCCAACATCTCTATATATACACACACAATGAGCTGTGAAGGCGGCATCTGCTAATGAACCAGCCGTTACACTTGAGTGCACACCCACCCGCTCTGACTGGGTTCGGTATCCCGGCTGCTTCGTTTCGAGGGAGGTAAACCCAAATACAAAATATTGCACTTTTGATCTGCGACTATACGCTTATAATTTTGTTTATTTGTTTTTTCATAATCAGCAATGCATATTATATGTCATGAGGAAGTGATAATTGTGTTTTAATTATGTTTGATTTTTTGGTTGCATGTGACCTTTAATATATTTATAACTTGATTAAGTCACGATATGGCTGAAATACTGCCGATGTGAATCTTAACTTACTCATTCACTATGGCAAGGGATTATCTGTGGTTGATCTTCCCCTATTAATAAATAGGAATATGTATAGCAACAATACCGTATACGACTTTGCCGTACTACAACGAGTGAAATAGTCCGGTAAATGCATTATGTCATGCGTTGGATTGAATGGGTTTGACGCTTGATCATCCAACTCGGCGGCCATTGATCTGTTGTATATTGACGGACAGCGGAAAATGGGAAGTTAGTGCCAGTAATTGATGTTTGAAGTGCTTTGTAGCTACAGAATCTGCAGAAGAGTTACCTCTTATACCAGAGTGAGTGAGTGAGGTAATGTTTAAAGTCACATCGGCAGTAATTCAGCCAAATCGTGCCTAAGACAGTTGTACATTTATAATTGAATGAAAATTAAGTAATATATTATACTTACCTGTCTACAAAGAACAGTCAAACAACTAGACTGTCACAGAAATAACTTTAAAACGATTAATTATATCTAAATTATTTTAACTGTAAATGGCAATACAATATAAAAAAACAGGTGATATATTGCCAACAACTGAAGGTAGATCACCATACTTGAGACCATGGGTACTTATAGTCTTATACCAGAGCCAACAAAACATGATAACCTTCCCAGCCCTGGATAAGTCTGGATGGGGACTTACAATTTCAGCTCAAACGGGATGAGGCACTCGTGAAGAGCAACCTCCTCGTGGTGAGTGCTGGGTAACTTTAATAGCTCTAATAGCCCGTGTGGATCCGGTGTACAGTGTGTCCACCGTGCGTCCACAACACCCCATCACCGGTGGTAATTGGGCAACCTGTTTGCCGTGGGTTGCGCCCCTGTGTCGGTGGAGGAAGTGATTCTGGTGGTTGGGAGCCCTGGTTCCCGGAACAGCGTTTCCCACAACACCGCTGATCCTGACTTCTTAACCTAGACGGGTAGTAGAATGGGCACGGCTCTATCAATCGACTGGTCACGCCAAGCCCTGTGCATGACAAGTATTTTTCAATTTGCCTACAGTCCGTTTGGGATCAAATGAGAACGATGAATGATGTATTTACTCGAAATAGGGATAACTGCACAAGACAAAATAAGACACATAATCCTGAAACCTCTGTACCCAAGAGGATCTGAAATCTGACGTTTTATGATCGATCACGTAAAAAATTGTAAAAGAACTCATGTAACATTGTTCTATTTTCACGCTTCGCACCGAGGGGTGACAAACGGCTGGTGGAACAGCGCCGGACGTTTCCTGACTAGTATGGTTCTGTGCTGAGTTTCACCTCAAGTGCTTGCCAGCGCTTTTCCACCAGCCGTGATTTCAGATCCGGGATTGATCCCAAACGGACTGGAGAGTCATAGGCCAGAGGACGCTGGCTCATTGGCCAATCCGGTAGGACATATCACTTCTAAGACATTTACCTGCTTGAGTATCCCCTCCTTGAATCCCTGGGGTCGTCTGTTGGAGACCCACAGGTATGAGACATCATCCTTGTCACTCAATTGAGGGTGGGGGACTAGGAGGGTGAATAACATATGCAGTCCCACTCAAAATACGTTCACACGAATCTGACGATTCGTTGTCATGAGAGGAT